GGCATTTTATGAGTTATTGTATGCAATGATGTTCGTTTCATATATTCATTAACATGGTATTGGATCTGGGTATCTATTACAGTTTATTGTAATAAAAAACTCTAAATGTCTGTGACACTATATTTGTTCTCTAATCATCGCACAGAACAAATATCGCCATGTAATATCGCTGAAGTTTATAAGCACTAGTAAACAAGAAATAAGTTCTAGATTATAATAAATAAGCAAGTAATCAGTTCATAATTCTTTTAATCGATTTTTATAACTCCTTTCATTTGATACGGACAGAGCACGATAGTAAAAAGAAATATATATATAAAAAATAAGTCTATAATTAATTGTTGTATTGCACTTGTCTCTTTATATTTTTATTCTCCCCTGCATGCTCTTTAGTCGGATATTCAAGGAGACAGTTACCTTTTTTAGAGGGGAGTTGATAAAAAAAATTCTTTTATCACATATAAAGAGTTTAATTTTATCTTTCTCTTCCCCATATTTCTCTCTCTCTCTCTCTCTCTCTCTTTCTTTTTTTTTTCTTTTTTTTTCTTATAACCGTTTTTTCTCCAGCATCAATATATCATGGATATCACCAAAAAGGACGATTACGTTAGATCCAATCCATTACAACGATCAACATTGACAGCAACTTATCGTAATAAAGAGACCAACTCCGCCTACTCCGAGCAAGAAGAGCCAGAGTTTGCCTTCCAGAACGGACTAGATGGTATTCAACAAGGTGATGATATGATGACACACCATGCGACAACAATTTCATCTTCTAATCCAATTTGGTAAGCGGAATACAAAAACATATTTTCTCTTTTTGTCTGAGTGCTAACAACTCCACTCCTTAATATTATAATTAGGGTACCTGCTGATAAACACCCAAAAATCTCACCGAGTGAATTCGAACACTGGATTAAAACTCATTCAAATGAAGGTAGCGCAAACACCAACACAACAACCGTTCAAAGAAAAAGCTCGGTCTTATCTTCCGTGTCGTATAACTCTTCTGAGGAGGATAGTAGCGATGACGACACAATGCCCCCAACACCAACTATCGAGCCATTACCCACCATTTTAATCACAGGTAAACTTTATATGTATGAAAAACAATTCGACCTAAAAACTGATAGTTAGTTTCTATAAAGAGCCTAGACATTATCATGATCATGATATAGCTATTATGGAGGAGCATTCCGATAACGATTCACTCCCTCATCGCCAAGCCCAAGATGCACGAGGATCAGAACAGCAGGGGCGCGATCTTACGGCAATACCAACTGTTGAAGAATCTCGGGCCAAATCTCCAGAAAACAATATGCATCACGTTGAAACACAGCAACTTACTACTCAGCAACCTTCTTCACGTCAAAAAGATTCGCCAATGCCGATCGATCTTCCTGTTATAGTAAATAAACCTATTATAGATTCTCCCGACCATAAAAGCAATAAAAAATCGTGGTTTACTGGATTATTGAACGACCTGAAAAAATCCACATCTTCGAAAACAAGTTCTTCCAAGACGAATAAGAAAGCAAGCTTAGCCGCGTTTTTTTCATCTAGCAAATCCGCAAATTCATCATCAACTACGCTGGTACAGAAATTGTCCTCTTCTTCTAGCACCAAGTCCACCTCAGCCAAGTCGGCCAAGTCAATAAAGTCAGCCAAATCATTCTCGAACACAAGTAATACCAAGACCCTCCGGAAAAAGAAGAGATTACCTACATCCCTAGCCAGAAAGGTACCACAGGTGCCCTCGACACCATTGATTTTAAGATACCCATTAGATACAGAACGCGCCATATACAGATTATCACACATGAAATTAAGCAATGCCAGAAGGCCTTTGCAACACCAAGTAGTGATTTCAAATATGATGTATTGGTATTTATCTGTCACAGACAAGCAGCAGCAACAACAGAAGCAACAACAGCAACAACAGCAGCAACAGCAGCAACAGCAGCAACAGCAGCAACAGCAGCAACAGCAGCAACAGCAGCAACAGCAGCAACAGCAGCAACAGCAGCAACAGCAGCAGCAGCAACAACAGCAACAACAACAGCAGCAACAGATACAGTTTATGAAGCAACAACAATTCATGCACCAGCAACAGCAACAACAACATTATAATAATATATATTATGCTAATAGTAAACAAAAAATGTATGTAGATAATGTATACCATGCCGCATATCATTCATTTGAACCGCCTGCAACTGCAACCACAGCTCTAGATTACAAAAAACAACCAAACAATGCTGTTTATCAGCGACCTGTAGATCCATATACTGTACCTCCTGTGATAAATGAGAGTGAAAACAAACCGAATACCACCAAAAAGGACAAGTACAAGCCTGTACGCAATACCCAATATGAGCCTATGATAACCAATGTTCGCTAGACTCAGCTTATAGATATATTGAATAATAATAAAAAAAAACCTGTTTGTATTATAGTATTATCTTTTTTTTTGGGAGGTTTCCAAAATACCAATGCTCATCTCTTGGCATGTTTTTAAAGGAAGGCTGAGTATTGATCAGCCTAAACGCTTTTTATTTGCCACACCCATCTATAGGTGCACCAATATCCGATCTTTCGGTTATTTACTGCCCCCAAAATAGGATATAATCAGGTCACATTTGCGAATAGAGTGCGATCACAAGTGTCAAAGACAAAAGAGTGGGAACCCCCGGAAGATAAAAAATTGTGTGACACCTAGTAGCACTGATTTGTTCATTCTTGCATAATCAGTTAGATAAATCATTTCGCAGTCATTATTACTAGACAATTCGGGAGACTCGGTTGCGATAAATACATATATAAAAAAAAATGAAATTTAATTTTAGCGTGATGTAAATAGGTATGTGGGGGGTTTTTTTTCTTGGAAAACATTTGCATATTTTCAAACACGCAATGCTAAAAAAAAAAAATCGAATCTTTAATCTATCAGTAATAAAGTTTAAATTTCTCCCATTCCGTTGTAATAGCCGTCAAACAAACATTAGCTCGGCTGCATGAAACAAAATTCGTCGATGCATCCGTTTATTGTCAATAGTTTCGGAGACTCGCGCACGAGTCCCTTAAAAAAATGCCTTTTCCAAATTAAAAAGCGGTATAGAGCTCAATGACTTCATCCGAACACGAATCAGGTTGGGAGATACACACACAAGTGCTCTATGCCTTAAACCCGAATATTAAAAATTGGCTGATTTTATGAAAAAGTCTTATTTGCTCATCAGCCAACAAATTAATTATAATAAGTAATCGGATTGTGACATCGAGAACCCTTTTCGTTTTATTTATGTATTCGGCTGTTGTACTCCATGCCGGGATTTTATAAATATCGCATATGGGATGTCCAACCAAGAGTAACTTTTTCTATGAAACCCCCTGATAAACACAATGTTTACCTGTCATTAACAAGTCGTTTATGTACCTGTTAAGAAGCAAGAGAATATAATTAGACGCCATTTAAAGTCGTACATGTCATCATTTTCAAGAATTCTTATCAATTTATTTTAATACCTTTCCAGTTCTTCTAATAACTACTGATTTGGGGCATGCTACAATAAGCCTGACGCGTATCATGTTTTAGCGGTGCTGTTGTCAATAATCGACCTGATTTTTTGTTCAGTTAGCTATTGGGTCAGATGAAGAGTTGAAAACTAAATATGTGTAACATTTACATATATATAAAACAACATTTTTTTGTCCACAGCTGATAGAAGTGACCTATTGACTACATAATTGAAATCGGAATGGGAAATAAGAACTATCAATTCGAGCTCTGAACATGATTGTAGATAAGCTCAACATATTATCTGTGGCGTCCAATTAAATCAATTAATTTCATAAAAGGTTATGTTATGTCATTGACATCGAGTAGAATTGGGTTCAATACGCTCGAAACGTAATATCCAACAATTGTTAGTCAAAGAGAAAAAATACATAAAAACGAATTTCAAGCTCACGGAAGGCTGCAGAGATAAGAGCATTTTTTAATATAAACTTATTAATAAGAGGATTCACACACTCTTATAACAACTTCCAATAATTTAATTCATCAAAAATATCTTAAAATATGGAGAGATAAATTGTCTTTTATAGTGTAAAACCTCCGTATTATGAACACAATACCTGTTGAATTTAATTGGGCATAAATAAATAAACCGATATGCCATGGCTTCTATAGTAACCACAAAAACAGATTTACAATGATAAAACGAAAAAAGCTATGCGAGTGTATATGTAAACAATTTAAGCTGCGCTCCCCATTGAAGTGTTACATTCAGAAAGGGAGTGGTAATTGGGCCAAGACTTGCAAAAGAGTACAAAATAAATTACCAGCCAGTTTGATTGACGTGGAAGAAGGTAGAAAGAGATGTTGACAAGTCATCCACTGCTACATTTATCTAGAGCTAATTTATGGAAAACCCAAATATGCGTTTGAAAGCGGGTCAGCATGTCTTGTACAGAGTCTTCTCTTTCCACGAATTGTAATTGTTGTCTGAATTTGAAGGATGATTCCATGGGGACACAAAATGTTGCTGAGTACCATATTTTTATTCTGAAGATACTTTTATTTTTATTTTTATAATCAGTCATCTTTATCTTGATTCATACGTTGTAATGTCAGCAGCTAATAATCAAACACCACCCATGGCTTTCCAGCCGGGACAGCAACAACAACGACCGATGATGACTAACCCAGGTCAGCCTCGCCCTCCTTTGGCATACAACTCTTCCAATGTAAGACCAGGATTTGTTCCACACTCACCAGGTAAGTTTTCTCTTGCCCTCATACTTTTTCTTCTTCTTATCATCCTGAAATTCATTGACTAGGTCAACTTGCTCAGCATTCGCCACAAGGATATTCACCTCAGATGAACAGACCACCCCCTTCCGTAGAAGAGAAAATGGGAAATATGCAAATTGGAGGCGCCGCACAAGTAATGACTTTCTTTCTTTTTTTCTTTGGACCCCACGTATAACTAACAGGTTGTTTTAATATTAAAGAGGCCTGGGCGCTCAAAACGTGTCTATGCAACAGTGCCAACTACACCTTTACCATCCGGCAGCACACCCCCACAAGCATATCAACAACAGCCGTACCAGCAACAACAACAACAACCATTGCAGCAACAGCAGCAAGGCTATCAACAGCACCAACAACATCATCAGCCACAACAACCAATGTATCAGCAACCAATGCAACCACAATCCATGCAACAACAGCCAATGCAACCACAATCCATGCAACAGCAGCCTTATCGGCAATATCAGGATCAAAAGGTACCAGCACAAGAAGTGGTTGTTAAAACGCCACTCGGACTTCCCCCTCGTCCCAATGTCAAACCCCGTATTGATCCAAACCAGATCCCATCTCCCGTACAAATCCAATTAAAAGACGAGGAAGTAAATGAACACGCGGATTATTACTATGGCACCTGTACGAAAAATGCGATGCCTTTAGCCAGTACAGATTTTCGAACTTTGGATCAAGGAAACTGTAATCCTCGATTTATGCGGGTGACGCTGAACGAGGTGCCTCAAACAAGCGAGCTTGCCAAAGACACAGGGCTACCCTTTGGTGTGGTGATTCAACCTTTAGCTCTCACACATGCACAAGATGCGGCTGTTCCGTTTGTGCCTTTACACACAGAAACGGCTGAACCTACACGTTGTTCACGTTGTAAAGGATACGTCAATCCTTGGTGTCGATTTATCGACGGCGGCCGAAAATATGTTTGTAATTTATGTGAGTTTGAAAATTTGGTACCTGAAGATCAACAAAGTCCTCTTGATATGTATGGAAAAAGAATGGGTAGCGGCAATCAGCCAGAACTCATGTTTGGTTCAGTTGAATTTGATGTGCCCAAGGATTACTGGAACGATATCGAACCCAAACCTTTGCATCAATTGTTCGCGATCGATGTCTCCCGAAATGCCATACAATCGGGCATGTTGACAATCTTTTGTCAAACAATTAAACGATTATTGGAGACAGACGGGTTTCCACAAGGAATGAAGATTGGTATTTTCACATTTGATAGCTCTATCCAATTTTACAATCTGCAGGTACAATTGAAGAATAGAAAAGGAAATCAGAGTCGATTAACTCGAGCATATTTAGGCTGGATTAGGACAAGCTACCATGATGGTTGTTTCCGATATCAATGACGTTTTTGTTCCTCTTTCAAATGGACTCTTTGTAGATCCTAAAGAGTCGAGGTAAGAAAAGTTAAATAATGTAGCAAATGTTTAAACTAATTTTTGTTTCCCTAGATTATTAATTGAAGGGTTATTGGATCAGTTACCTACTTTATATGAGAATACAATGACACCGAATGCAGCATTTGGTTCTGCTGTTCAAGTTGGTATATTAGCTATGGTAAGATACACAATTACAATTTTCATTTTATGAAACATCATCAATTAATTTATTTTTATCAGAAAAAATTAGGTGGTAAGCTTTCTATCATGCAAACCTCTTTACCTTCAATCGGACCTGGTGTTTTAAAGAATCGTGAGGATCCTTCACTCTACGGTACAGAACGTGAAAAGGGTTTATTTGCACCTCAAGATAATTTTTACCCCCAATTAGCGGGCGAGAGTGTTCAAGCTGGTGTATCTATCGATCTCTGGCTCTTCCCTCCTGCCAACACGTACATTGATGTTGCTACCGTTGGTGTACTGTCTGCTTTAACAGGAGGAGATACCTACTATTTCCCTAATTTCAATATAACACGAGAAGGGGTACAAGTGATGCATGATTTGACTCATACAATTTGTCGTGAACAAGGATACAGAGCTGCGCTTCGTGTTCGATGTTCCAACGGAATCTCAGTACAAGATCAATACGGTAATTTCTCGATGTCGAATGCAACAGATATGGAATTAGCAGGAGTGAATTCGGATACAACGATCGGTGTTGAATTGAAACACGAGGGAAAACTGGCAGAGAATTCACAAGTGTATTTCCAATCGGCCTTGTTATACACGACAGCGGGAGGACAACGACGTGTACGAGTGCATAATTTAAGCGCTGGTGTGGGAGCAACAGCAAACCCGGTATTCAAGCATGCGGACTTGGATACCTCGGTTAATCTTTTGATTAAACGCACTATTGCGCTTTCTGCTAAAAAGACGATCAATGATTTGTCGAATGAGTTGGATACTTTTTGCGTCAAGGTACTTACTGCTTACCGAAAATATTGTGCTACGGGTGCTTCTGCAGCTCAATTGATTTTGCCTGAATCATTCAAAGTGCTGCCTCTTCTGTTATCTTCCTTTAAAAAATCTGCAGTGTTGAGAAAAGGTAATGCATGCAAAGACTTTGGAAGGGAAAAAAATGTTTACTAATATATTTATTAGATTCATCCATGAATTTCGATGCACGAGTATATAACATGAGAAAGATCAAGAATCTTAGTATTCCCGGTACGATTAAATGGTTGTATCCACGTTGTATTAAACTGCATACATTGTTTAATCAAGAGGAAGGTCATACTCCACTTGAAAGACTTTCGTACGATCGATTTGAATCTACAGGTATATACTGGATAGAATCCCATAGTGCAATATTTTTATGGATCGGTCAAGAGGTTTCAAAGGAGATAATATACGCCATGTTTGGTGTTTCCGAGATGAGCCATATCAACCCAGCCATGAACGAACTTCCTGTGTTGGAGGAATCACCCGTCAATTGCCGATTGCGGGGATTGTATCAAAAGGCGACGGAAAACATTGCTTATTTGCCTCAATTAAATGTCATTCGACATGGTTTGGATCTGGAAGTAGAATTATCGAAAGTGTTGGTGGAAGATGAAATTTATAATCAATCTAGTTATGTGGATTATTTGTGCATGATTCATAAACAAATACAAACAGAGGTAAACAAAAGAATGCAAAAAGATTAAAGTGAGGGGGTGGGGTGGTGATGGTGAAGTATGATTGAAGCTCACATTTTAATTACTTTTTAGTTGGAACGCGAGAAAAATGATGTGGTACTTTCTGCTGCATCCTATTGGGCTTATAGATATTAAAATAAAATAAATTTTACATGTGGCAAAAGATATGTATGATCAAGACAAGATTTTTATTATTTGATATACGAAATGAAGTGAAGGCGAGAAAAAGGAATTTTTTATACAATGTTGATGACTATTGGATATTATGTAATAGGGGTAATTTTTTTTTTTGTTTTTTGTTTTTTTTTTAGGCAAGTGCCTTTAACAAGGTAGTTAACTCTTCAGCAACCTTGTCACCGACTTCAACGGTAGACTTGTCACCATGAAGATCACGAGTATGGAAACCAGAATCCAAGACCTTACGCACAGCTTCTTCAACAGCACGAGCTTCAGTTTCAAAACCAAGAGAGTATCTAAGCAACATAGCAGCACTGAGGATGGTAGCAATGGGGTTAGCAATACCTTGACCGGCGATATCAGGAGCAGAACCATGGATGGGCTCATAAACACCAAGACATTTACCCTTACCATCGGGGAGACCACTAAGAGAGGCAGAGGGTAACAAACCGAGAGAACCAACAATGACGGAAGCTTCGTCAGAGAGAATATCACCAAACATGTTTTCGGTTAAGACAACACCATTGAGACTGGTAGGACGTTGAACCATAGCCATGGCACAAGAATCTACCAATTGATGATCATATTCCAAATCAGAAAACTCTCTATCCATGGTATCAGTGACAGTCTTACGCCAGAGACGAGATGTAGCCAAAACGTTGGCCTTATCAACAGAGTGAATTTTACCAGGAGGGGATTGCTTTCTGGCCAAAAGGGCAGCTAATCTGGTGACACGTTCAACTTCTTCTCTAGAGTAGGGAAGAGTATCATAAGCTAATAATAATAATAATAAAAAAAAAAGGTTAGATTTTATTTCCTCGTAAAATCTCCCACGCTTTGATAATCGCTAAATCGTGCAGATCCTCAAGTAAGACACGTTCCATTCCCTTCTTTTTAGAAAAATAATTACCTTTGCCATCTTCACCAGCTTCCTTACGATCACCAAAGTAGATACCACCAACCAATTCACGTACAAATACAAAGTCAGTACCTTTGACGACGTGATCTTTTAAAGGAGAGAGACCTGTCAAAGTTTCTGAAGCAAAGGAGACAGGACGCAAGTTAGCGTAAAGATCCAACTCCTTTCTGAGACGCAAAAGACCTTGTTCAGGACGAGGACCAGAGCCCACATGAGCGCCAGGAAGACCACCGACAGCACCCAAAAGAATGGCATCTGCTTGTCTACAGGCTTCCAAAGAAACATCGGGAAGGGGTTCACCAGTCTTTTCCATGGCGGCCAAACCAATTAATTCGTTCTTGAATTCAAATACGGCATTGAGAGCTTGAGATCTTTCAGCAGAAACAACTTGCAAGATCTTGACAGCTTCAGCAACAATCTCGGGTCCAACACCATCACCAGCGAGACAAACAATAGAGATTTTTTGAGGAGACATGATTTTTTTATAAAGAGAATATGAAAAAGAAGAAGAAATTAAAAAAAAAAAAAAATTCAGGTTCCTTAAAACTAAACCAAAATGATTCATGGCCATGATAGCCAATCAACGAGTATTTGTTTTGATTGGCGCATGATCAGAGTGACAAATTGACTGACAGAAAACATAGGCTGACTGGGTGTCAAATATTCACGGCGGGATTTTGTAATGCAAAAAATAACATAGATGAAAACATAGACGGTAAAAAAAAAAAAAAAAAAAAAAAAAAAAAAACGTCATCTCTCATCAATATCGGCTGATATTTAAACACTAATTTAACATATGAATGTAACTCATAAACAAGAAATTTTTGGTGATAAAAAAAAGAAGAGGAACAAATTTTATTTATAAATGTGACAAATGGAGAGAATGATACTGAAATCATATTAACAACGAGAGGTAAAGGGAGGAGAAAAGAAAAAAAAAAGAAAATGCATAATAAGAGAGAAAGTAGGTTGTGGGATAAATGTGTAATTTTTTTTTTTTTTTTTTTTTTTAATTCTATTTAGTTCTTGCCAGCGTTTTCGGGACGAAGTTGACGGACAGTCTTACCAGTTCTCCAAATCTCAGATTCACGGATTTCAGCAAGTTCAGCCTCGAGCTTCTCACGATAATCAGCTTGAGAGTTACGGTCAAGAGAACGAGCAGTTTCGGAACCATCACGAACAGATCTATAAAGGTCTTCAAAGACAGGCTTGGAGGCAGCATGGAAAGGCTTCCACCAATCAAGAGCACCACGCATAGCAGTAGTAGAACAGTTAGAGTACATCCAATCCATACCACGCTCACCAATCAAGGGATAAAGAGATTGTGTAGCTTCTTCAACAGTCTCGTTGAAAGCTTCAGAGGGAGAGTGACCATTGGCTCTTAAGACTTCATATTGGGCTTGGAACAAACCTTGGATAGCACCCATCAAGACACCACGCTCACCGAATAAGTCAGAGTAGACTTCTTTCTCGAAAGTGGTCTCGTACATGTAACCAGAACCGATTCCGATACCCAAAGCAATGGTACGCTCCTTGGCATGACCACTGGCATCCTTATGAACAGCGAAAGAAGAGTTAATACCACGACCTTCTTGGAAAAGACGACGGACAGTGAAACCAGAACCCTTGGGGGCAACAAGGATAACATCAACACCTAAATTTTTATGATAGTTTTTAGTACACTATACATAATACACACACACATATATATAAATATATTTTTCTATTTACCTTCGGGAGCTTCAATGTTGGTTTGATCCTTGTAAACAATAGAGAAACCATGAGAGAAATAGAGAGTCTTACCGGGAGTCAAAAGAGGCTTCATGGTAGGCCAGATCTCCTTTTGATAAGCATCGGACAACAAGTTCATGACAACAGTACCCTTATCAACAGCATCGAGAACAGGGAACAAATTCTTACCGGGAACCCAACCTTCTTCAACAGCTTGTTGGAAAGTCTTACCTTCACGTTGACCGATAATGACATTAACACCGTTATCGCGCAAGTTTAAGGCTTGGCCACGACCTTGAGGACCATAACCGAGAACGGCAATAGTGTCGTTCTTGAAGGTCTCGAGTAACTTTTCCTTGGGAACATCGGCACGTTCATAAACGGTTTCCTCAGATCCACCAAAGTTCAAGGTTTTCATACCACGAGATTGCATGGTAGGCATAATCTATAAAAATAGGTGTTAATATTTCTCGGGACCTAAAAAATCCTTTTTTTTTAAACATACGGTGGCAGCCTTGAGAGCAGATTGTCTGAAAGCAGGTCTGGCAGCAGCCATGACAGAGGGACGAGCCATAGTGGCAGCTCTACGGAGAGCAGTAGCAATAACACGAGAAGACATTTTATTTAATTTGTTAAAGATGAGAAAAAGAAAAAAGAAAAAATGAAAGAAAAAAGGCCCGGGATATTTAAAAGAAACAGATTTTTTTTTTAGTGTTCCTACAAAATTTTTATGAATCATTGAAATTATAGCAAATGTCTATGGTTGAAAAGTAATTCACCCAATTAAGTCAATGTGTGTAGAGTGTGATACATTTTGAATGGGCTTCTTTTATTGGCTAGTGCATTTTTCTGATCTCCAATTTTCATCAAACTCTATTTATTTTTTTGTGTAATCATCTCCGATTACTCTCTCTTCACACAAAGTTTTTCTGTTCACAGCTTATTCATGCTATCGGCAAAGATGGAAAATGAAATTTTAAAAAATTGCGCTTGTTATCTTTTTATAAATGGCTTTTTTTTTTTTTTTTTTTTTTTTTATGGTTACATGCATCAATGTTCTGGTACGGATCTACATGACTAACCATGAATATGTGTTCTTTAAGTAAATAAAAAATCAGCGACTTCCCCGCATTGGGTTGAGCAAATGGTATTCATATTGAATATCATCCAATCAGAAATAAAGAGTTATGTTATCTATGTGTTCGCTTGCATTAAACACAATAGTGAGATCTGATTGGTTTGACTCACATTATATCCCTTAAAAAAAAACTAGTAAAAAAGGGTACGCCCCTATTCTTTTCACATGGCTCCATTAGATTTTAAAACTTTTATTATCTTTGGCCAATTGGAATAGAACCCAAGTCGTATTTAACTTACCCCAAATAAATATAGGGTTCCTTCCTTATTCCCTCTCTTATGCAACTAGAGGGGGTGCAAAAAGTGCTTTTTTTGGACGAGTAGATTTTTTGCATTTGCATTTGACTCATTAGATTTCAATTACCGCCAATAACTGATTTGTCCAACATAAAGCCTACTTTTTTTTTTTCAAGACATAAACTCTAGATCTTTTTTTCTATTTGTATTTAATATCTCTTTTTCTCTTTATTAAAAAAATAAAAAATAAAAATTGACTTTTTTTTATTACACTTGTATTAATTCTAACTTATAAAAAGAGATAATGCTTGCATCCGCCACCGCAAGAAATACAACCAAGTTGTTCAGCAGAACTTCAATGAATCTGTATCGCCACAGAGCTGTCATTGGCTGTGCCGGTCTTCATACCACACATAAATCCAAGAGCGCTTTAGCTTCATCGTAAGTTATGCTGCATTTTTCAATATAACGCATTTACTAATTAAATGATTATAGTGTATCTCATTCAGATCGCTCTGCTGTCGCCTCAGAAAAATCACCTAAAGTTGTTCAACCTCTTGTCAAGAAGCCTTCAGCGGTTGAAATGGATGATTCTTTTGTCGGTATGTCCGGTGGAGAAATCTTTCACGAAATGATGTTAAGACATGATGTTAAACACGTCTTTGGTTATCCTGGTGGCGCTATCTTACCCGTCTTTGACGCTATCCATGAATCAGAGTACTTTGACTTTATCTTGCCTAGACACGAACAAGGTGCTGGTCACATGGCTGAAGGTTATGCCAAAGCAACGTATGTACCTTTACAATATATATTTATTTTATAATTTACTAACAATATCTCATATAGTGGTAAGCCTGGTGTTGTTCTCGTCACTTCCGGTCCTGGTGCCACCAATGTAGTTACCGCCATGGCTGATGCTTTAGCTGATGGTATCCCCCTTGTTGTTTTTACTGGTCAAGTTCCTACTTCTGCTATCGGTACTGATGCATTCCAAGAAGGTAAAATATTACATGTTTATTTTTAATAATTAGAGATTCTGGTATACTTACGTATTAATTTCAATCCAGCTGATGTTGTGGGTATTTCTCGTGGATGTACAAAGTGGAATGTGATGGTCAAGGATGTTGCTGAACTTCCTCGTCGTATCAATGAAGCTTTCACTATTGCCACAAGTGGTCGACCCGGTCCTGTTCTTGTGGATCTTCCCAAGGATGTGACAGCCGCTGTGCTTAAGCGTTCTATCCCTATCAACACCATGATTCCCGCTCGTCCTTCTGCTATTCCCAACACTGCCTTGACTGCTTTCACCGAAGAAGCTCGCTCTAAGCCTCACCCAGTCTTGTTACGTGCTGCTGAACTCATCAATAACGCAAAGCGACCCGTCATCTATGCTGGACAAGGTGTTGTAGGTCATGTTGATGGACCCAAATTCTTGACGATGCTTGCTAATAACGGTAACATTCCTGTCACTACCACATTGCACGGTCTTGGTTCATACGATGAATTGGATCCCAAGTCCCTTCATATGTTGGGTATGCACGGTTCTTGTTACGCTAATTTGGCCATGCAGAATGCCGATCTTATTATTGCTTTGGGTGCTCGTTTCGATGATCGTGTGACGGGTAGTGTAGCTCATTTTGCTCCTGAGGCTGTCAAGGCAGCAGAGGAAAACCGTGGTGGTATTCTTCATTTTGAAATCATGCCCAAGAACATTAACAAGGTTGTGGATGCTACTGAAGCTATTGAAGGTGATGTGACTGAAAACTTGAAGAAGTTGGTGCCTCATATTAAAAGCTCACCTCGTACCGAATGGTTTGAACAAATCAAGACTTGGAAGAAGGACTATCCTTTCTACTATGAAAAGACAACTGATGATAATGAAATTTTGAAACCTCAACAATTGATTGAAGAACTCGACAAACAAACTGCTCATATGAAGGAAAAGGTCATCATTACAACTGGTGTTGGTCAACATCAAATGTGGGCTGCTCAAATGTTTAGATGGAGAGAGCCTCGTCAATTCATCACATCTGGTGGTCTCGGTACTATGGGTTACGGTCTTCCTTCTGCTATTGGTGCCAAGGTAGCTAAGCCTGATCATGTTGTTGTAGATATTGATGGTGATGCTTCCTTCTCCATGACAGCCATGGAATTAGCCACAGCTGCTGAATTCAATATTGGTGTCAAGGTCTTGTTGCTGAATAACTCTTTCCAAGGTATGGTGAAGCAATGGCAAGATCTCTTTTACAAGGAACGTTATTCTGGAACTGTCATGAAGAATCCCGATTTTGTAAAACTTGCTGAAGCTATGGGTGTCAAGGGTATTCGTGTCACAAAGGCCTCTGAGGTGGAAGCCAAGATGAAGGAGTTTTTGGAACATGATGGTCCTGTTATCATGGATGCTGTTGTTTGTAAAAAAGAAGTCTTATTCCCCATGGTGCCTGGTGGAAAGCCTTTAAATGAATTCATGGTTCATCCTACTATCGCTGCTCGCAACAAAAAGTAAAACAAAAACAAAAAAAAACTTCATATCCTTTTCAATTCCTCGCACATATATATATTTATAATTTCCCAGCATTTCAGTAAAAGATGTCTTTTTTTTATCCTTTGTAAAATAAACCCTAAAAAAAAATATTTACATTTCTAAAAAAAAACCATTTTTTTTATTGGTTGTTGACTTTCCAAGCATCCAACCATTGCTTAACACGATCAGCGTTGGATTCCATATCATCAATAGTGTTGCTGGGTAATTCAATCACGATTTCTGGTGCGTAAGATTCATGGGCAGTCTCTAACACGACTTGCATGATTTCACATTCCATATTTTCATCCATCTTGCGCTTATTATATCCACGCTTTGACATACGATCGTATAAACTAGCTGTATCTGCTCGAAGCACAAGTACAAGATCAAACCATCTTTCTGGGAAAATCTCGCACGTATGAAAATCCACAATTTTACCTCCTTCCTTCAAAATTTCCTCTAATTCATCGAGAAGCTAATTTAAACAGTTAGGTCATCTTGAAAAAATTATCCTTGTTTATTTTTTGTCTTTACCTTGTCTTCGTCTAAAACATGAGTGTCAAACTCCTCAAGGTATCCTTCATGAAGTTGCTTTTGCTTCACAAGTTCTCCCACATTGACATGATCCAAACCTGTCACTTGTGCAATCATTTCGCTGGTGGTGGTCTTGCCTGTACCAGGTGTACCGGTCACTAAAATATTAGGCAATGAGCGTGACATGCTTGTAGTAGTTAAATGGAAAGAAAGAAAAGAGGACGAAAAAAAAAAAAAATATTGCAAGGTCACATAACATTGCGGGATTTCGATCGGCCTTGAGTGATATGCCTTAGGGGGCTTTATGTGCAACTTTTACCAACAGAATTTTTATAGCCGACGATTGTAGGAGATTCTATTGTGGCTATACTCCCTATATTTGTAATGGTTTCAGAGGCCACGTACATACATTTGTCAAAAACTAACTCTACCAAAGCCTCTTTATCTTGTTTTATACACGAATTCGTTTCTAGAAAGATCATACAACTCATAGTTCCTCGTCATTGCATAAGTCACCTTCTCAGACAGGTGTATTAATAACAAAATTAAGAAGTTGACCTCCACAAATTAATCAAAAAGAAACAGGTATACAGTCTTAATATACGTCGCATCCAAAATCTATGCTTCTCAATCACACACCGAGGTTTCACTTTTATCTTCTGAAACATGGCAACTAGATTTGCATTGCCTTGGTACTGCCGTATTTGACGAAAATAATACACTTGAGATATAATGAAATAAAAGCATATCTTTATTCGACTGAAAGAACTCTGCTGCTATGTAATAATTGATCCTTTTTATTTCGCACAACTCTCCTGGGTTTTAATGATGAGTCAACCGTTCTAGTTTTGGAATAGAACTATACTTTGTTTCCCGCCTTGGGTTAAATGAATACTACTCGTTAGAATTGTTTCCAGTTAACGTTGTCCCATATCAGTAGATCGGGAGCATGAGTACTTCAATAAATCTTTAGTGTTACGAGACACCTATTTATCAGATCATGCAACGGTTACTGTAAAAGATGCATACTTGTTTGTCAAGTCTAATTGGCAGTAGGACATAATAGCAATAGTCGATCATTTATTCATTATATTTGTAATGAATAAAATACGATCCCAAATATATATTTGGTTGTAGAAAGTAGGTATCCATTAATTCATACATTCCTTTTTTATACTCTTTACCAGCATTATAATTATATCAGTATACAAGTAAATGAACCATTTATATTAATAGCTGTTCTATTCTCTCTATGTGTAGCTAATACATTGGGAGAACTATTAATATTGAGTTTCTCTTTCTTATAATTTTCGATTTGATCTGAGAAGATTATCTTCTCGATCGGTGATATCGTAACTCAGTAGTATAGCACTCTGTATCCAACTGTCATTAGTATATCATATTTAGGCCGATCATGTAATCTTTAATGTAGAAGCATTTACTCGTAGTAGGAGAAGCTATATAGCAGTATGCATGTGTAAGCTGGTATGCAACTTTGAAGGTTGTTTTTATTTTATAATTTATTTATTTAAACGATTTGCTGATTTATTCTTAAGTGAATCGTACCAAAATACGACAGATTGGTTCTATCTTTAAATCATGCCAATTAAAATTACATTGTCTGAGGTCAACCAAAATTTTATTATATAAAGTAGCCTAAATTATTAAGCGAAAATTTCTTATAAGCTGATACATTATTATTAGATTAATTAGGGTCAAAAAGAACCTATAATAATATAATTCACAATTTATCATCTGTAACAAGATCATACTGGTAATATGAGAGTACCACTTAATTAATATAATTTAATTATACTGAAAGTTCTTTTACACGATATTTATTAGAAGAAAAACTCCAGATAATACAAAAGCTATCAATATAAATGGATCATTCGCTAATAAATTTAAGTTATCAATTCGATAAC